GGATTTTCCGCCACCAAAACCGCCGCCTCCACTGCCACCTCCGTAGCCGCCGCCCCCACCACTGCTGAGACCTCCGCCTCCAGATCCACTTCAAGAGCGCGTCCTCCAGAATAAAGGTCTTGCAGTCACATCAAGGAGGCGGTGGTGGAGAAGTGGAACAGACCTCCTCCGAGGACGAGCCCCACCGTCTGGTCCATGAGGTGACCAAACCTATTATCCAAGAAGTTCGCGAAATCATCACACCTTACAGACGAGTGATCCAAGAGATCAGACCAGTCGTCGAGGAGATCCACACCGTTGTGGCGAAGGGTGAGGGCCGACAGAAACAGAGGGACGAACAGCAACAGATCGGTGGCGGCGGGTATGGCGGTGGACAACAGCAACAGAGAGGCGGTGGTGGACAGGGAGGCTATAGCAGCGGCGGCAGCACTGGTGGGTTCAGTGGAGGCAAATCCTCCGGTGGATCGGCTGGTGGTTACGGAGGCTCATCCTCCTCCTCTTCTGGAGGCCGATCTCAAGGCGGATACGGAGGGTCGTCAGGAGGTGGTGGTGGTGGCGGCGGATATAGCACGGGATCCGCCGGCAAGTCATCGGGTGGTGGCCTGTCGTTCGGTGGGGGCGCCGGTGGCAGCAAAGGATACGCCAGTTCTGCATAGAAACATATTATAAGATAAATTGAATGAATGGCCAAAAAAGCACTCAAATACTACTCTTTTAGGCATTTATTGTAATTATAAACCATTTGTTGGAGACTTTAATACAGTTTTTATATTTTATCCATAGTTTCTATGAAAGATATTTTTATTGAGAAAAGTATTTAACACAACATTTTTGATTACATTTGTTAAAATTATCTATTCGTTAAATATTTGTCACTCAATGAAAACCATTATTTTGTATTAATTCACTTCAAACTTATGTACAGATTTTGTTTTCTATTGTCATATTTTATTGCATTCAAAATAATAATAATAATAATATCTCGCATTTGAATTGAAAATCCAAACAAATTTTGCAATTTTTTTGTTATTTTGAATTTTATAATTAACAAACCATTAGTTAGAGATAATTAAAATTACTGATTTGTTTGAATTGAAGATTTAACAGGTTTAAGTTTTAGTTATTGTTTATGTTTTGCTTTCAAATAAAAACATAACATACTATGTTTAATTAAAATCTCAAACTCATTGACTTATCAAATCAATTGACAGATGGTAAAAGTATTTCAAATTTCCGGAAATGTTTGTATTGGTATCAAGACAATATTAATAATTTAGTAAAGTTTAATTTATGAAAAAATATAATAATTTTTTTTATAATTTTTTAAATAATAATTGGTGAATATTATTAAATCTTAATTCTTAATATTATAACTGAATTTATATTCATAATAATACTTGTATATTGCTAATCTTTATAAAAGTGTAATAATTAGTATAAAAGCTTTACAATTGCTAATTTTAACTTAAAAAGTGTACATTCATGAAAATAAGCAAAAATTAGTGAAAATATATGAGATTTGATTGCAAACGTAGAATTCTGAAAACAATATGTATATGGGTAATAATTCATTTGTACCAAAGTAAGTAATTCATTTATAAATTTATTTTAATATAAATTAATTAAATATTTGTAATATTTATACTATACATTATACCATAATTATACAAGTAAAAGAATATAATAAGCAATATAATTTATAAAAGCTTAAATATTTAGTGTAATTATGTACAATTTAAAATAATTGTTTTCACAAAAGTTTTTTAAACCTTCGTCAAATTTATAATCTGCAATATAATGTATTATTATTATTTAAATTATATTATTTTTATATAAATATTAATTGACTATTAGTAAATGTTTGTAAGTAAAGTATTTTGTATAACAAATTTGGATAAATATTTACGTTATAATGATTGCAAACTTTATTAATGATTTATTAATAATGAAATCATTTATAACCCATGTTTAATACTGAAAGTGTTATCAAGATTTATCGAAAGCATAAATACACAGGAAATTAGAAAAACATCATTTTTACTCAATCATTATTACAACAAACTCTTTAAAATCTCATAAATATTATCATATTTTTAATTAATGCGTTTTCTTTCCAACTAAATAATTATAAAACAAATAGTTATTAAAATAAAAGTGAAAACAATTTTTAAAAAATAATATCAAAATTTGTTATGAAACTGTTTTCAAAAATTAGAATAATTTATAAATACTACTTTAATTTGTTTATAAATATATACAGAATCCCAGTGTTTGCTAACAAAGAATGAGTCCGTTGTGTGAGAGTGCAAAGCATGGACTGGAAGGGCATCGGTGTGTCATTGAGCTACCCGTGCGAGATGGCAAACCCCATAATGACCGCATCGATCAGGTTTGCCACGAAGGAGAGGACAGACCACTTCTGCCCACATTTTCGTCCACAATGGCCAAGACGTTCACCATTATGTTCCTCTGCCTCAGTATGTTTAGTGTGGGCGCCGGCTACTCACTACTGGCTCCCTTCTTCCCAACCAAAGTAATTTCACAATTAATTATCAATTTGTAAGTTTAGTAAAAATGTATAAAAATGTGTTTCATATAAACGAAGGCAAAATCAAAGAATGTGTCGGAGCTATGGATTGGTCTGATTGTGGCTCAGTATCAGATCGCTGTTATATTTGGATCAATCATTTTTGGCAAATTAGCTGTATTATAACCATTATTATATATAGTCATATAACTTATTACAATCATTCATTGAATACTTGTGTTCTAAATCGATTTTTGTTCAGGGCACAAAACTCAATCCTAAAACAGGACTATCTTTGGGATTAGTGATTGCAGGCATTGGTAGTTCCCTAATGTCGTGAGTTTCACTCTGTTCAGACATTAACATGATTACTGTATCACATAATTTATCTGTAAGTTTGCTGGAATGGTCTCCCCCGGGAACATTTACCACAACATTGGGTATGGTATTCAAAACAATAGAGGGGTTGGGAGGGGCCGCTGTTTTTACCAACGTTTGGACAATCATCTTTAGAGATTTTCCACAAAAAATGTCAAAATTATTTGTAAGTTTAGAAAACTTCTTTATAAATAACATATTTAATTATAATGTAATATTTCTGGTATAAAAGGCAACTACAGAAATGTGTTACGGTTTGGGTATGATAGTGGGACCGGCATTGGGTGGTATACTATATCAAGTATTATTAATACTGATTGTCGCATTTGTAAACAACTTAATTGATAACAATTTGTGATCACGTGAGCATAGATTGGCGACGACTATCTTGACATAGGATTTGCGCTTCCCTTTTGGTCTTTCGGATCTTTTCTGGTCTTTATAGCACTTTTGTCTCAATTTCTTGTCCCAAAACGAAGTATTTCTCATTTATTATACAATTATTGTAGATTTATACTAATTTTACATTTTAAAAATAGCTTACAAGTTAAACTAAATACTACTTTATAGTTTTAATTTCAATGAATTAAGAATCTTAGATTATTAACAAAAGACATTTACCGGTAACACATATGGATGTCTAATAATCAAAGTATTTGAATATAAATCAATATAAATCAAAGTGTTGGGCTATTTGCAGACATTTAATTATTATATCAAATTAAACTAGTATTTTAGTTTTGAATTTTTGATAAATTTACAAATTATTTAATTCATAAACTTTATTTAAAAACACAAATATCAAAATTTTATCATTATTTATTTTAAATACTTTTTTTTAATTAAATGACATTTTATTTGAATGCTGACAGGTATGGATCAAAGTTCAGTGAAGACTATCAGTGTTTTAAGTTTATTGAAAAACTTTGGATTCACTCTCTGTCTGTCCATAACCATCAACTCCGCACTACTCATTGGCTTCAATGAGGCCACACTTGATCTACACTTAGCTTCGGTTTGAAAGTCATTTATTTCTATAAATATTCACTCAATTATTTAACACTTAATTATGAATAGATTGAGAAGTTGGCCCCCTCTACAAAAGGTGCTATATTCTTAGTAAGTGGTCTCACCTACACTATTGTTAGCCAAATATTTGGATACCTGGGCGACAAAGTTAAAGACTGTTACCCGATGTGTATTTTCGGTTGCGGATCATCTGTCATATGTTTCATAGTTATCGGTCCCCTTCCCTTCTTCTCAATCAAACCGTACGAATATTAATAACATGTTTTCAGTCATATGCAACACATGTTGATACCAATTATTTATTAATTTATTTATTAAATTACTTTAAAACTTGGTTATAAACACAGAAATTTAGTTTTGGCAATAATTGGACAAGTATTTCTGGGCATCGGAATGGGTGGCGGTTTCATTGGCAGCTTTATTCAAGGATATCGTGAAATCATGTATTGGACATATTTTTTAAATTATTTAAAATTTTTTACAGTTATATTAATATATTATTTTATGAGATAGTTATGCTGGTTTCCCTGAAAATATGTCCACATATGCAGTAATGGCGGGTATTTTTTCTTCATCCTATGCAATCGGGTATTTATATTTCTTATAAATGTTTTATGAAATATTAATAATATTAATAATAATCAAAAAACTTTATAATAGTTCATCGATAGGCCCCGGAATTGGAGGATACATGTTAGGAGAATATGGCTATCAATGGGCTACAGTTCCTTTACTAACGATTCAAATAATAATGGTATTTATATTCAGTATGTTTAGAGTTTTAATACCTAATATTATTGATTTTTATTTAATAGATAATAGCAATAATTTCACATAAATTATTGAAACGATATAGAAATTATCATCAATTATAAAGACATTTAGAAATTCACGAAATATTGGAATGAATTTGTGCAATGGTTAAAAATTGTTAAATATAATGTGTTGTATTTATTGATAATAATTATTGATAATTGATTATCAATATAACAATTATTGATAATAGCGTTATCAGCAATGACTCACAAAACTACGTAAATGCTATGAAACATACAAGTGTTCAAATACTTTGTTATATAATACAATATTTTAGTAACTGTTGTTTGTTTACACTATTACCGGTAAATTATTTAGTACTGTATAATATGTGGTAGATTACGTGTATTCTTATAATATTGTGATAAATTAAATACTGATACTTATATTGTGAATTTCATGACTGCATTGAATTGATTACTCAATTCAGGAAACAAAGCATACAATTTCAATAATTAAGTATTTTTAATTATTCGTATATTAATTATTTCAATGATTTCTGATACTTTCCATTCATTTATCTGATATGAAAAATAAGTTATTTAAAAAACAACTCAAATATTCAATATATTGTTATCACAATATTATAATTGAAGTGGATATAATAAATTGTGATATTTCGTAGCAATCTATTGCACAGACTATTAACAACTGACAGTGAGTATTACCGGTAAGAAAGGTTTGCATTTGAATTTTGTAATTCAAATACAGTTTTGTTGATAATTACTATAGATATGATGTGATCATAAGTTTATGACATTATAAGTGACTTATATTAGAAATATTCTTTATTTAATAAACAATATTTCATAAAAATATATGAGTTTTGTATTATTTTCATAATATATTATATTCTTGATTATAATGGAGTTCTGCGATACATATAAAATGGAAATAGAAATGAAATCAAGAGTGAAATACAAGATTTTATCCCAAATCAAAGCAAATATTTTGAAAAGTGTTAAAAATGTGTTTATGTTTGACATAAACGGCTTGGATGTACTGATTATCACCAAATATGATGAGGTGTATGGGATGGGTATCAATAAGTTTGGTACACTTGGATTGGGACACAAGAAGGAAGTGAAAGAGTTGTTATTAATTGACGACTTGTGCGCAAAAGGTTTTATTAATTTCGAGTCGGGCTATGACTTCATGGTTGGCCTCACAAAGAATGGAGAGGTGTATACGTGGGGAAAGGGACATAAGGGACGTCTGGGCAATGGTCTCAATGACAATCATGTGTTCATACCAAAAATGATTGTCTCTGCGAGCGATGGCATGAAAATAGTGGACATTAAGTGCACGGTTTGCTCGACTAATATGTTGACCACTTCGGGAACCATCTATTGGTTTGGGTATAAGGGCTTCAATAATACGGAACAGTTATCACCTGTAGGTGTCTTCAACGACACAAATGTGGGCCACTTTGTAGAGTTGGGCTGTGGGGTCGACCACTCATTAGCCCTCACATCAGACGGCAGAGTGTATGCCTGGGGTCGCAATGATATGATGCAACTCGGGTTGGGTCACAGCAGACACACCGATACTCCCAGTGCTGTCGAATTGACACCCAATGTATGCGTACAGAAAATAGCCGTCGGCTCTAACCATAACCTACTGCTAACTCGTGAGGGCTGTATCTATACGTTTGGTGACAACAGTTGTGGTCAACTAGGAATTGGCAATCAGGTCAACCAGAATATCCCACAACTGCTCGTCAAATGTAATCAATTCGTCGACATCTTCGCCACCGACCAGAAGTCGATGGCGTTGTCTGACAAGTGTTTTGTGTATATATGGGGCCAAACAAAGAGGGGAAATATATTGCGACCGGAAAGGACTGAATGGCATTCATTTCAGGAGGCGATCGACCAGTACTGCAAACCTGTGTTCACTCATAAACCTCTCACTTATGAGCAGTTGTTTGAGAAAAGAGAGAGAATTTACCGAATAATCAGTTCTGCCTTTAATAGCGAGAAATACAGTGATTTGAAAATTAAAATCAACGATCACTTCATTTATGTCCACAAGTGGTTTGTGTCAGAAAATTGCAAACATTTCGACACTATGTTTGCCAACGAGTGGACAGAATGCAAGACAAACATCATTGAAATAACTGGTCACTCATATGAAGGCTATTATGAGTTCATGAGATATTTGTACACAAATATGTTTCACACAAATAATATCGACGTTTTGATAGATGTGTTGAATATATGCGATGAATACATGGAGTCTGATATCAAACTCAAATGCGTTCAACACATCAAACCTCTCATTGAGTTACAAAACGTGTGTCTCATCTATGGATCGGCTCTTAAGTATAGCTCCAATGAGTTGGAAGTCTATTGTTTCGAGTATATGGTGTTCCGATTGGACCAAATCATTGACACCCAGGGATACCACCAAATGGATGACAAGTATTCAAAGCATTTATTTACACATTATATCCGTTACTTAAAAGAGATTAATTCTCAAAAAGATTGTGTAAACTCGTAATCTATATTTGTTTTTTATTGTCTTAATTTATAAACTAATTATTAGTTTAAAACTAGTGTCAAATTAGTGTTAAAATAAGTGTCAAATCATTAATTAAATAATATATACATTTTAACTATTGTTTTACTAAAATAAAATTTAAGCTAAGCAAACGAATTTAAGCAAAAAGTCTACTCTACCGGGTATTAACAGGTGGTCTCATCCAAGTACTGTCCGGACTCCGGACTCTCGGTTGCTTAACACAGGGAACAGGGGGTCAATGGACCCATGCTTTCAAATGATATGGACGTAGACATTAACACTACTTTCACACACTTTTATTTGATGTGATTCATTACATTTATCAAGTATATGTTAACTGCTCATTACATTTATTTTGTTTTCAATTAAAGGAATTGAGCACTAGTTTAATGAGTTTGTAATTATTACAAGTAGTGATTTACAGTACTGTACTGTTCTTACAATACATATTGGATACTTAATCATAATAGACATAGGTCTGAATGGACCTTGGTGCTATTTTCTGGATCACTTTACCCGCCTTATCGTCCTCCACAACCAAATCAATTTCAATACCTTCAGTATTTACTGCAATGATAACTGTGGAGCCGTTGGTGGTGCGGAAGGCGCCCACCAGACAGTTGTTGTTACTCTTGTTGACGACGGGGGTATCGATTCTGACGGACCCCGGGGTCAAGAATTTGCTGAAGTGTGCCATAGCGTAGAACGAGGGCTGGCGGTAGTACTCCTTGGTGTCGGCGTTCACTATTAGTGGCGCGTCCACGAAGTTGTTCACCCAATTGGGACCCCCTTTAGTGTCCAGAGCCATGTTCCAGTCCACCCAACCGACCACGTGGTGCAACAGGTCCTACCATTTGACGAGTAATTGTGCGTCAATACAACTCATCATAAATTATGTTAACATTTAGCAGTACTTACATCTAAGATGTCTGAGCCGTAGAGGTCAGCCGTATTCCAGTCGCCCAGTTTGACGCCACCCTCGACACAGGCCTCAGTGGCTAACATCCATTTGTCCGGATGCATTTGGTGGGGCTCATCCAGCATTGTCTTAGGGTCGTGACCGTACCAGTGCACGGCAGTGCCCGCCGTGTATTTGTTGGCTACGGGGTCGGTGTAGTATTGCTGGACCCACTCCTTGACAATGCCCACATTATGATCTAGCATCATTATGTTGAACTTGTCCGGAGGGTAACCACTTTTCTCCAACTCTGGTCCTATGTTTAGAATTACAAATCAAAATGTTTATAAACTGGAGCTTTCAATAATTTACATATTAACTCCCGGCAGATGTTTATAAGGCAGTGTACAAAAGTGTTCATAAACTTTTAGCCATATAATGTCTTACTATTAAATATATATATAAATAGAATAGAATTTTGACATTTTCTTTTAATTTGATATTACACCATTGTATATGATTAAATAGAGTTATAAATAAATTAAATAAAAATCCTAATCAACCAATTAATTAAGGACTAAAATATACTCTAAATTTTCTGTCTCAATTATATTAGCTCATCTTAAAACTTTAAATTTTTATTATAGAAATAGTTCTTAAAAATATTGTCCGAAATTATGAAATATATTTGCGAAAAATGTCAATCTTTAAATAATTAAATTCACAATAATCCCTATTCACAACTTTAATTTAAGTATAAATGTCCATATTTTTGCCTCTCTCAAGGTAGATCAATTGCAAAATTGTAAATACAAATCAATCTCAAGTTAGCAACCGGGTCAGTCAACCGGGAGACGGGAGAAACACCTCAATTCCGGGAGACTCCGGGTCAAACCGGGAGGTTTGGCAGCCTTACCTAGGTTCTTTGCAACAAAATCTCTCATCATGAGCGGCGACATATACATGGAATTCCAAACGGCTCCGTTGTAGGGCTCGTTCTGCACAGTAATACCCCAATGGGGCAGACCATGGGCTTTGTATGCATCCAAATATCTGTCCATTTATAGTACAGTATGTGATTAGCATTGCGTTGTAATGTGTAATGTAATATAAAAATAATATCAAATGAATACTGACTTAACGAAATACTTGGCGTATATCTGCCAGTACTCAGTGCCCACTTCGCCCTTAATCCTGCCGCCATGGATGAGCTCCTTATTATCCTTCATCCAGGCCGGTGCAGACCAGGGACTTCCAAACAGTCGCAACTCATGGGTAGCCATGGCTTTGGCCTTCTGAATGATCGGGATCTAGAAATAGTATTTTGTGGTTAGTTCTCAATTCCATATACTTTAAGGACACCAAATGAGTGCTGTTCCCTTGCTTTGTGTATGAATTGTCAGCAAACAAAAGAGCGAATTAATCATTTCAAACCTTTAGCTCCAGATCCTCTTGAGTCAGATTGAAATGAGCCAACGGTTTGTCGTCCTGTGAGTCGTCATCCAGAGAGTAGGGACGGGTGGAGAAGTCAGAGCCACCGATGGGAAGGCGACATAAGTTATATTCGAGACCATCTTTGCCAAAACAGTCGCCAATCATTTGGTCCTCCATTTTGGCGCCCATTTTCTTATAGTTAATACCCGTGGCGTCGGTGAAAGCGCCGCCAAAACCAAAGATCTCCTGGTGTTTGACATCCCGGTTCACTTTGATGTAGAGTTGAGTGCCTTCCTTATCGATGTCCACGTGTTTGGCCTTATCTTCCAATTTAAGTGTGGTTTTAACGAATCGGTTTCCCTGAGCGGTGGACTCCCATCGGGTGAGTACACCGGGAGCTGTCTTCACGACCGGCTCGAACCGATCGCACGGTTGGGCTTCAGTGCAGACACAGACGAAACTGTCGAAACCAAACTGTTTGTGGTTCGCACAGCTCGGCCTCAACGTGTGGTCGGGCGCTGTGTCCTGAACCACAAGCATCTCATAGGTGTTGGTGTGGTATTCAGCGCCACCCCATCCGTAATACATCTGATTAGTACTCTTGTAGAACTTGCCCACCATATATCCGCCCCAACCACTCGTTCGCACAGAGTAGGCTTTCCCCTGTAGTTAGTAAATCATATACAGTATTGTGAATAAGTATTGCAAAAACAGCAAAATGAGACAAATGACTGACCCCTTGGGGATCGACGCCGGACTCAATAGCGCCCTTGGGAACGGTTCCGTCGTGTGCTTTCTTCCAGTCGAGGAAACACTTGTTAGGATTGGTGAGCACTTCGAAGTTGTCCTGAAGGCCATACTCCTTGCCATCCATAGTGACGAAACACCGTTCCTCCGCCGGTTTGTATCTGCCGGGGGTTAGTATGTTGTTATAGAGGGCTCGCGACACATAGAACTCTCCCGTCGTGTTCGTGAAGCCCTCGTTGGCCAACACGGAATTGGGCGGAAGATTCTTGTGATCCGTTTTCACCCATTTTAGTTCACATGCGGCCCAACACACAGACAATACAACAGACAAAACACTTATTTGCAATACAAGTTTCAATTCATTCATTGCTAACAAATACTTAGTTTTAGAATAGCTATGCATACAATTTGCAAATGAATTGCTCTATTGATCTCATTATTCAGGTTTATATAAGAATTGTGCTGGGTGATAATAACAATAAACTAAAAATTGTTTATCACTTTCTTAGCTCTCAATTCCGTTTGAAGTCGAGTCAACCAAATTCTAGCAATCAAATTAACCAGCATATAATTCTACTGTATAATCTTTTATAATAACAAAATTTATTTTTTGGTTTAATTAACGAATAATATATTCATTAAAATTACAATATTATTTACTCATTTAATATTTTTTAAACGGAGTTATTTAATGAACCCTGTCTGTTCCATTGTTTAATAATCTATTTTATTTCCATTATTAGAACAAATATTTGTTATCTTAAGTGAATTGACATTTGTTAGACATTTAATTAAATGCTCATCGAATTAAAAAAAAGTAGTCCATATGAACTTAATATCCTTGTTCATATTTCGCAATTTTTCTAACAATTCTATAGTTTTAAAGAATAGTTTTTTATTACAAATAGAAATACAAAGTAATGTATTTTAATAAAAACTTTATTTTAAATAGGAATATGCATTGACATCAATTTTACCCCAAATAAATAAATATGTATAACAAACAATACCCTATATCCCGTATTCTTACACTTGAAAAGTTTAAGTGCATATTAAATGATGCTTGGTGCCATTCGTTTCTATGCCTACAGAAACTGTTCGCAACATTTACTGTTAAGAAAATTCAATATAAATGTAAAATATTGGTCGTATCAGCAAAATATTACAAAATATGTTTTCGTTGTCAATGTATAGGAAAAGTATTGACAATTTGATACTTGAATCGCAAATAGGATATGAGATTTGAATGCCTTAGTAATGATGACCTTTCGATGCACTTAATGTCCTTTTTATGTATTCATACAATTGTTTGCAATAATTGTTGTGCCATCAAAATACTATAGTATAAACACAATTGTGGCTCATATTCATTAATTGTTACTGCTTAATTTGTACAAACATTTATAAGAGAATCTTTGAACAAAACTAATCTGGCTATTTTATAGCTTTATTGTGACATTCAAATGAAATATTTGAATAAGTACTACTCGTTAGTACTGCATATTAAACTGTATTCCCCATAAATACATGACTTTCAGACTGAAACCCAACAGAATACAAGTGCAGAATAGTTGAGTTTCTCAAACTCACAAACTCTGTCATATGTTGCATGCATTCGCTGTCAAATGCTTACTGAATACAGTGCAGTATTCTGTAATGTAATACCAATTCAGTCAATGCATTGGAGGCACACATGAGAGCAGTGTTGAGCCAATAGATGGCACGCGTGTAGTCATAACACAAACACAATCTGACAGACAGAGAGACAGTGTGTGAGTGAATGAGTGTTGCATTGAGTGTTGCATCTCATGAACGCCAAACCAAACACATTGCCATCACTTTGTTGTCACAGTTGTTCAGCTCAACTGACAGTCATATCACAGTCACTGCAGTGCTGGCAATGTATACCATTGTATGGTATGGTGTGTCCAACAGTGTGTCCAACAGTCCAACACCACTGACCACTCGAGTCATGGCATCCATTGATGACTGAGTGAAGACATGTCTGAAGTGAGCACAGAGTTGACGGGCAATGGCTTGGGTGGGGGCAGTGGGGAGAGAGTGCAGCCGCATATGGTGGTCGTGGACTTCCCGCCCCTCCACACGGCCTCCGGGGGCCCACTCCTGACCACTACTGTGCCTCTGAGTGGCGCACAACTGCGCACTCATGAGGAGGAGATCTACGAAGACCTGTGTTATGTGACACTGCGGTTGGGTCGGGACAGGGATCGCGTGTTGGGAAGCATTCCTCTCGAGCCCATCGAGAAGAGGGACTATTGTGTGAAAGAGTTGGTCGAGACGGAGAAGAACTACTGCGAGGCTCTCAATATGATTGTCAACCAATTCATACAACCCTTAAGCAAACTGTTGAGGACTACGGACCGCAACACTATCTTCCAGTCCATCAAACACTTGTATGACATCCACAGCCGCTTCTACACCGACCTCTGCCAGTCATGTCAGGCCTCGTCCTCCATGTGCTCACCTGTCAGTGCGTCCAACGGGTCGGCCAACACGTGTCACACCAACGGATCCACTAATTGTCATAACTTTAAGATCAGTTCGAGTTTTATTCAATTCAAGGATAAGTTCATTATATACGGCGAGTACTGCGCGAACCTCCCGAAGGCTCAGACACTGGTGGATAGCCTGTGCGGAAGGGACGACACGATCGCACAGGCCGTCCACAAGTGCGAGATGAAGGCCAACGACGGGAAGTTCAAACTGCGAGACCTGTTGTCGCTTCCGATGCAACGAATACTCAAATACCACTTATTGCTGTCACAACTCATTAAGACCACAGTCGACACCCACGACGACTACCAGGGCCTCCAGAGGGCCCACCTGGCGATGGTTGACTTGGGGCAGTACATCAACGAAGTGAAGCGCGACTCAGAGACCCTCACCATCATCGCCGACATCCAGGCCTCCATCACCGACTTGGATATGCCCGACAATACACAACTCCAACACTACGGACGCCTCCTCAAGGACGGGGAGCTCAAGATCAGGGCTCACGACGAGACCCGACTCAAGACGCGCTACGTCTTTGTGTTCGACAAAGTGATGCTAATGTGTAAATCGATTCGAGGGGAACAGTACTCCTATAAGGAGGCGCTCATTCTCGCCGACTATCAGGTATGACATGTTTGCATGTATGGTGTGGTCTGTTGTATGGCATGTGTTGATGTGTGGGATGTGTTGACAGATCGAAGAGCAGTGCATTTCGAGCACAATCTCGAAGCTGACGAAGCAGTGGACGAATGGCTGGAATCTAGTGCACAGACAGCACAAGAAGACGTATATGTTTTACGCCAAAACAGATGACATGAAACACAAGTGGATCGAAGCCATCAACAAAGCGCTGGACAACGACTGTCCGCTGGCGTGTCGTGAGGGCTATACTGACCACACGTTCGCGATGTTTACGTTCCCGTCGATCACCACATGTGTTGGTTGTCAGCAACTCCTCAAAGGAGTCTTCTTTCAGGGCTATCAGTGCACTGTATGTCATATCGCAGTCCACAAGGAGTGCATCACATCCGTGCCCTCATGTGGCGCACCATCACTGCCTCCGCGCCCACCACTGCCGCCGTCGAGTCCGGGGCTGTCGTTGAACTCATTCAACGAAGACGACACTCACAGTAATGGCGGCGCCTCTGACGCCAACCTTCGCCTGTCGTACGAAAGCCCCACATCTCTGGATGTGTTTGGCGTTCACCAGCAAAGTCAGGAACAGGCCCTCAATCTGGAGGACTACGACTGGTTCGCCGGTCCGCTCGACAGAGAGAGCGCACAGTCGACGCTCGAGAACATGAGTAACGGCTCGTTTCTGGTGAGGATATCTCCGAAACAAAGGGGCAGTTATGCCATTAGTCTGAACTATTCGGGTCAAGTGAAGCACATGCGGGTGCAACAGACCAATGATCACCAGTACTACTATCTGTCGGAAACGCGGTATTTCAAGACTATCACCGATTTGGTGGTGTATTACGAGGAGAACAGTTTGTGCGAGTCTTTCAACTTAGTCGATACTAATCTCATGATTCCCTACAAGAAGGCATTGAGTGCCGAAGCCGTCGCCTACGCCATAGCCCTCTACAGTTTCACCGGCAGTTCAGCCAATCTGTTGGACCTGAGGAAAGGCGATAGAGTAGCCATACTGTCGAAGGCTGGGGAGAGTAAGGGCTGGTGGAAGGGACAGATCAACGACAGGGTCGGCTACTTTCCATTGGCTTACGTCACACAAACGCAGGACATGTTATGATGTTTTCATTCATTCATTCATTCATTCATATGATGGTTGAAGTGATTGAAGTGAGGAAATGAATGCCGACACCAATGCCTTCACACCATTCACAACATCGCCTCAATTGGTGTTCAATAACACAACGAATAGCACAACAATTCATGACTCAAATACTGTACACATTTTAAGGACTTTATTGTCACATAAAGTCGTGTTTAAGTTTATATACATATTTACTTTATTAGAAATTAATTTTTATTATTAATTTAATAAAATTTGACGTTTTTCTAATGAATTATATTTTGAATTTTGAATTAAAATGTTTGAACTTTAAATGAAGTTGTTTCTAAATATAGTTGCATAAATCTTTTAGTTAATTAGATATTATGCTATGCTTTTGGTATTAAATCAATACTTTTAACGAAAACAAAAACTATCAGTTTGTTTGGCTCTGAGTTGATTACAATAAATTGTTTAGATAGCAAAACACAGACAAGTACTGTATTTAATTGAATTTCTCTCAAACATGAGACTAATTAACCCAAAAGTTTGACGTGAGATGCAAAAGAAACATCTCATGTCTTGTCTTATTAATTACGAACACAGCTTAACATCACTCGTAAACCTTATCTAAATTACAGGATATTGTAGTTTATAAATGATAAACAATATAGCACTCAAACATGAGCCACAGATACAAACATTAAATTTTCAGAAAATTTCATTCATTACATTTTCTATCACATCAAATATTCAATTTCTTATTATTCATAAATCATTCATATTTTGTGACTCGAGGGCACTATATAATATCTAAACAAACACTACAGTACCAAGTGAATATTTCCAATAAAATCATAGCAAAACAGATTCCAATTACTATGAAAATTTTGTGAGAAGTTTATTATACTGTATTATGGAGTTATACAGTACATATTGTATATTTAACATAAACAATCTATAACTTAGCAAAAATATTTTGTTTACGGTATATTATATAAAATGAATCACAGAATAAATAAATATAGAATATTATTTAGTTATTACTAACAGAATCATCACTTCCCTCCTTATGTTTACTGTACTTTAAACTTTAATTTTTATATAATATGTTCTATAATTTATAGTCTATAAATACTGTATCATTTTGTATAATTTGTCAAATTTATATTTATAAAGTGTTTGTTTGTATTATACTGTAGAAATACATCATTATAAACAAATGAAGTATGTTATTTGGAAAATGTAATAATTTAATTAGAAAATTTATTATAATTATATTAAAATATAAACTAAATTTAATATGGTACAGTATTACTAAACCATATTAGAAAATTTATAATATAAATGCAACACTAGTACAGAAGTATACAATGTTGACTCTACTGTATATGTCATGATATCTAAATTACACTTTTAATATTTGCATTGCTGTAGAGATTTATTAATAATTTTTGAATAAAACAAACTATTCTTATAATATAAGATATTATATAATACTATATAGATTCCAAGTCCTATATATTGTATTGATATACAGAATCATACAGTATGAATGAGTGCATATTTAGATTGGATATTTTGCTAGTTTTATAAATGTTTTGAATCTCAACACAACATATCATTCAATCATTCCTTTTGGAAACAATTTGTAAAAACCTTGTCTTTCATTAGAGAATGTCAACCAAACATTGAATTGAGTGGAAAATGTGATAAATTATAGTATATTATCTATAGTTATGTTTGTTCACCGTTCACTCATTTCTTTTGATGTCTTTTCAAACATTAAGACCAATAAATCACTTTTATATTATGTTTTTATTTCCTTTTAAACTAAAAATGGATATGCTTTTATAATAATTAAAATTTTAAATAATGTATAAATCTTTACGAAGATGTTAGATATAAATACTTAAATAACAGCGTTATTGATTTAATAATTAGAATAATCCTGATAACCTATCAGTGATAAATGTTGAAAATTAAATAGAATTTACGGTCTTTACTTTCAATATGATTTAAATTATTAAATTAAAATTAATTAAAAGATAACCGTAAATTATAAATCACTATTGTTTACCTATGAATTAACAATCATTAATAATAAATTAACATAAATTTTCATTAAATAATAAGGACATTATTTAATATTGTTTAATTTGAAATATACTGTCAATAATGTAAACTGTCTAATGTAAAAATATTTGGTAAATATAGTCTTCTTAGGTTTATGTGTACAATACTAGTAGTGATTCTTAGTGTGTATAGATTCTTTCAATACATCAAGTAATATTGAATTTTTGAAATGTCAAATTAGTTTACTATTAATTTACAATATTTGTATTTCAAGACTGGCCTATCATATACTATGAACTCTTTGGATCAAAAGGTATTACAATTGTATAGAATATTCTTTATTAATTGATATGAAATGTATGAAATAAAATATATAATGTGTATACAAAATAAACTTTTCATCTAAAATACATTCTGCGCCGAAAATAGCGAAACATACATAATATTTGAATGAATAAAATAATGAGAAAAAGTGTGATTATAAGGGCTAACAGCCAGACTGGGAAATGGCATTTAGGCGTTGCGTACGGAAAGTCTATTTGACACTTCACTTGGCTTTGTGTCCATTCATTCACTGCACGTTTCCATTGGTCATCAAAGTCTTCGTATAAAGTTTGAGAGCACTTGTGTTGGGCGACCACTAGTTGGCAATCATAAGTTTGCCACATTAGACAGCACTGCACTCTCATCAGGGTATCATTATTTGCCCCCTCAGACCAAACAGAGTTATAGTTCCAGTCACTCAAAGCAGATTCATAACAATGATCCAGATCATATTGGTTCTCAGTATAACAGCTGCCATTATTTGGTGGTATCACTAATTGTTTGCATTGAATTGGATTTAGTTGCAAAATAAGTAGGCATATATTCACATGTAATAGTGAATAAAAATAATTGAGTTCAAACATATCTATACAGTGAACACATTGTATTGATAAGTAAAAAGTATTGTAATATTTATATAATTGTTTTATTTAATTTATATGATTGTTGTTATATTATTGGCAAAAATATATTTGTTTGAATTCATTTGTGAGACAATTAATTCAATTATTAATACATTCAGTGCTCATATAGTCTTCAAAATGAATGTATACTTCACGTGATTGTCTTGAGTTAAAATGCAGTCTATGGTAACGTTATCACCAGAATTGTTATGTCATTATGTGATGACAAAGCATTAGAATTAGTACTAAATGTTGATCATATTTGTGATAATAACACATTTTGCCATTCATTTGAGGTTCATATTCTATATAACATATGCCAAATTTCCAACAGAAAGTACATTTCAACTCTGCTTTCTAATATAATCACTAATGAATATTATAACATCGTTGAAATGTACTCTCTATTTGAAATCACCTAATAACATTATATTATAATGAATATATATATTATTATATTATATTATATTAAAATCAACATTTATTTTATTTAGTATTTTCTTGTATGTAGCATTGAATTAATTTCCTTATTTCTTAAACATTATAATTTTTTTTATAGTACAGTATATTACAGTATAATTTATACTTGTACTGTAAGTTTCATATATGGAAACCAATGATAAACAATTTTATTAAATTAAATTTTAATCAATATTTTATATTTTTATAAGTCTTTATCCAAAAGAGGCAAAAAATGAGAAATGTCAGAAATACTTATTTTGATGTTATGGATACATTTGCTTCGAATAAAACACTTCCGTATTCTTAGAACAATACTATATTAAGCACTCATTTGTCTAAAACTCAATTTTTAATTCAAAACATATAAAAATAGTGGCATAATTTGAACCTTTAAATATAGTGTATTCTTGATATCTAGGTATTGCTTATAATGTATTACAAATTATAATAAAATATAAATAGAAATAAATGGTGTTATAAATACAGTATTATGAATGAAAACAAAAAAGTAGTAAAAATATTCTATAAATAAATAGTTTGTATGATTATATTGAGTAAAACTTGTTATCCAACAATAAACTACATTCAATTAAATTGATTTACGGTATAATGTATAGCTTATGTTTTACATTTGTTTTGTAATAAATAGATCTCATAATGCACTGAAAATGAAATGCAGTAAATATTTCAATAGAAATACCGGTTTTAGAAACACTAATCTCAAATAAAAGTTGGAATCTTACTTGTTAGATATAATAGAATTTATATTTGTTATATTACTTAAATTCACTTTATTATCGTCAATGAACATTTCAGGTAATTAATTGTTAATTAATTCAATATATTAATTAATTAAATTTGTTCTAAACTATTATTACTTAAAAATTATTTTCATAAATAAGGCTCTAATAATTTTTACAATAATTGTGTAAAACAAGTAGAAATAAGAGTTGAATTCTATATTTAGTGATAAAACACTTAAAAGAGTGTTTTATTCGTGAATTCAAATATATTTAACTCTTATTTTCTAATTATATTTTGTTTCTCATTCACACAATTGGAGGAAAAAAACAAATTTATAGTTTTAGGATTTAGTGTTACATTTATATCACGATTTCCTAAGCTATATAATCTTAGTTAAAATCGAAATTTTTTTCACTTTTCTCAAAGTAAAACTTTATAGTAAAATTCATCTAATACATTACATTGTATTCACAATATTTGAATATAAAGTGAGATATTTTGAAAATATGTTTAAAGTAAGTTTTTAAAGTTTCTTTGCTTATATTAATAAAATTGTAAATTTTAGCATATATTTATTTAAATATTTTTATAATTTAAATAATTTTTATTAAAGAATTTATATTATAGATTAAATATAATATATTTAATAGACATATAAAATTCTTATATATAGCGGGTATCCCATTTGATCCGAACTACTTTTAATTTAAATTAAAAATATTTACAATTATATTATGATAACAAAAACTATGCCAAAACGTTGGAAATTTATTAATATTTTATGTACGATTTATAACATTTGCACAAAATGCCTACCCTGGTCCTAATTTTAGTTTTAATGCATGCATGTCTGTTTTTCGTAATACCATAGTAATACAGTATTACTAATACTACTGTCACTGAATGATCGCATCAATTGAATCAGTGCTTGTGCTCTAAGAAATTCACGAATTTTTATGCA